TAGTGCCATGACAATGGAGATACAGAAGGCCGTCGAGGCGCTCAAGATTAATCGTGGAAGCAGCATCAGTCCAGCTCAGACGCAGCCTCAATCCATCATCGGCAGATTCTAGCATGAGAGAAGCTTCAGATGAACAAGGCATTAGTGGCATGGTGCTGCTGCTCCTCATCGAGATCTAATGATCCAATCCAACCTAATAATTGTATGGTGGTGTTCTTGTGCAGCATCGCTTGATGGTCAGCCATATTACACGGTTTCAGTTTGTCTCTTAATCACTTGTGTCATAGTGGTTATACAAAGACGCAAATCAATCGAATATGAAGCCACTTTTATACAAAATGCTAAGGTGTAATAGACAGAAGTTTGGGTAGAGTATTATAGATCCTCTTTTGTAATTATGTTTCTGGAAGTTTAGACCAATACATTGTTGATGTCACAACAAGAAACTCTCACACTTTTTTGTCTCTCTTTCCTCGCCAGTCTTTCTCCCCTAATTTTTCAGCTTTTAATCTTCTCTCAGTGGCTGTTCTAATTTGCAATCTGTATATTACACTCCATTATAGATCAAAAATACATCTCATGCCCATTTATTACACTCCGTTATGTATATAAAATCCATCTTCGTACGGGGGCCGCCAGCCAACTAGTAATTAAGACATGTACGAAGTAACATCATTTCCATTAGAATCCACAATGTTAGAGCTCTCACACTACATACTTCCAAGCCCAGTGGAGCCATGCACACATCGGGCCATCTCCCAAAACATTCTACTGAGAGCCCTGGAATGAGGCAAGTCGGGGTCGCCCGTCATGGCCCTCTCCCTAAACATGGCCTCCGCCCGTGTCAATGCCTCATTCACCGTCTCCTCCACCATCATTCCATGTCGTAGCTCGCTCCGCTGTCTGTCGCCCGGGTTATCGGCTTCCTCGTGTCCGCGAACTCTATCTCCGCCAGCGGCGACGGCTTATGATGCTTGTAGTACTCCTTGTAGTCCTCCTCCTCCTCTTTCTGCTGTTCTCGGTGAAGAGGTGCGCCGTCGGGGCGGACACAGGACACGTCGGCGAAGACTACGGGCTCGGGCCGGTGCGAGAGCCGGCGCTTCTGCTGCAGGGATGGCGCCCCCGGCGGGACAACCTCGTGGCTCTCGAGCTTGGGAGACGGAGCAAACGGCGGGATCTTGTCGCTGAGGCTATGAGGCAGTTCCATGTCTTCCTCCTTACGTTCCTTCCTCAGATTCTCCTCAGCTGCTGCTGCCTTTGCCGCCTCTTCAGCATCATCACCCTAACATCACCCACGCATGCAACAGAGCGTAGTTGGAGCTCGTAAATTACAACTAATAGAGTAAAGGGAAGGGAAAATAGGTAGTATTCGTATAAGAACCTGAGGGTCTTCGGAATGCACGGCGGTGTCAGCGGTGCGGGCGGTGGTGGAGGAGAAACAAGCACGTACAAGAGGGAGAAGGGATTTGCGAGAGGCGGGGAGGACGTGAAGGGATCGGATCCTCTCGACGTGCTGCATCTTCGCCGCCGTCTTCTTTAGGCTTCTCGAGCTCTCGTCGGAGACTGCGGGAGAGATGTCGATTGGATTTAAACCCGTTTGTGAGCGATCGGTCATAAGACGTGACACGTGGCAAGCGAAGCGGAGCACGTGTGTTGCACTAGAAGCTACCACGACTCAGGAGAAGATGACGTGGCGAGAGAAGAATAGACCAACTTTACATAGAGGTTTCTCGAGGATGGAAAGCTCACCGAATCTAATTAAGATTTCAGGAATCTATCACAAGATCATATAACTATGTCAAGCAGCAAAAGGTACGTAAGCAACCTGGTAACTTCAGCCTCAATCTAACATATCTTAGAGAGCTTATTGGAAGCATTACAAGTGATCAAAAGCAAAAGAGCTGCTCAATATAATGACCATCAAAATTTAAATTCACTCGAATGCTTTGCAGCTTTTGGTGAATCATCATCTATCGACAGCCAAATTTGGTGACAGAGGCATGTTTATTGGAAATTAGCAAACAACATCAGTGCTCATCAACTGCAAGAGGGACAGATTTCACCTGTCATTTGAAGAAGAAAATGCAACATTAATGCCAAGATTATTTTCCTGGAAGAAACTGGAGTTCATCTAACATGCCTTTTCATCAAGTGGAGTTCAAAGTTCGAACTTACCAGCTCTCGGAATTGTACTACGTAGAACATCTCAAGATAGCGCCGCGTCTCGCGCCTTTCAAGCTTGGACACATTTTTCCAGAAGCCATAAACCCCAGCCAGTGTCATTAATCTTTCCGAATAGATCTTCCATGTATACCTACGCATTGCCACATGATGTTATGCCATTAATTTGCAGCAAGCTAGAAATAAAAGATATGCATATGTAACAACAAGTAATTCATCGTGAAGGACCTCTCATAGATTCGACTCAATCCTCCTTTGGATATGCTATTCCAGTAGTCGGCATCTTCTTTACAATGTTCAAAAAACTCAACCATGAGTGCAGCAGCTTTATCAGGATGATGTGGATCTATATGGAAACCTGATACCCCATGCTCGATAATTTCTGCAGGACCTCCATGACAAGTAGCAAATGTTGGGAGACCGCAAGTTGAGGCCTCCACCACAGTGAGGCCAAAACCTTCATAGAAAGCTGGCTGTGGGAACAAGGATGTAAGTGATTGCATGGTTTAAGTGGCAGAGATCATCTTGATGACTCTAAATATTACCTGAACGAAAGCTCCACGGGTATCGGCTATGTAGCGATAAAGCTCGCCGTTTCTTGCCCTGTTCATTTGTGACGAAATCCAGCGGAACTGGCCAAACAAGTTGTAGGTTCTTATGAGTTGGTGCATCTTCTCAATCTCTTGGATTTCTTCTGTCATTGGATTTCTTCACATCATTGTGACCAGCAACTACAACAAGATTTACCAACTCTCTTAGTTTTTCGCTCTTTCCGAACAACTCAACCAAGCCTGTAATGTTTTTCACTCGATCAAGCCTTGCCATTGAGAAGATAATGGGCTTCGATCGGTCATCCAACCAACCACTGCAGTAGCGAGAAAATAGTTAAAAATGACAGTAGAGCTATAAACAAGGAGATTAGAACACAAAAAAATTGTTCTTTATCAAACATGGTGGTTCCTAGAAATTATGCTTGATATGATTCTTGTAAAATTATGACTTTCAGACCTACATAATTCTGTGAGAATTTGCAACAAATATAAGGTAAGGTACAAGACTCAGAATTGCCGTGTCAGATATCGCGAAAGAAAGCAATGAACTGATACCAAGGAGCGAAAACGTCGAACGTTTGACTAAATCAAACGCTGCCTAGATTTTGCATTGCCAGGAACCTCACTAATTTGGATTGTCTTTTTATCAGACCCCATATTGATGGAATCCTCGTACATTCATTTACTAGGAGTTTCAAGCTATTATAACTTAAAAGGTACACAACTTTTCAAGGGTTTCACCATAAGATTATCATGTATCATTTTACGATTGAGAATATTACTTGAGATCATTAGAAGCCTTACAAACGACAACTAAACTACCAAATCAATAAGAATATTTTATGTTTTTTTATCTCGAGTCATTTGTTCATAAAAAAGAATGTATAATGAGATATTTACATGACCAATTTGCTTAATGCTGCACTCTAAGTGATCCAGTTTCCTCTAAAGAACTGAACAGAAAGAGTCCAAAACAATTTACAGATGGTAAATTTCCTTATGACACGAAGATGGTAACCACACATCATGCATATGGTACAAGGAAAAGGTAAAAGGAAACCTGTATTATCAACATGAAACAAGATATAAGGTATAGGTGAAATTAAATGTCACAACATACAATTATTCTTAACACTAGAAGTTTCTTTTGATTGATTTTACATAGGTTTGAAATACCAATCTAACCTATATGTACCGACCAATATTTACTAATCTAATCAAGAACTACTATCAAATCATATAGTTCGGTATCAGATGATTTTTTTCTCTTTTTTATTTTTCTATGATACCATATGGTATTTGTCAGTACACAGGCACCATACAATCTAAATAGTTGTTGAAAGCGATATCAGACTGAGTTTGAAAATGTTGCTATCAATACAAAACATGCAGCTGCAATCTTTATCACTCGTTCATTATTATTATCACATATCATTCCTTATTTGTAAAACTAGTATGCCTGGAGACATAAATATACGTTAATGCCATTAAAATAAGTTTAATAGTGCAAAAGAAAATCACGCACAATAAGCTGTAAATGATTGCATCATGAATCTGATCAATGGACCAAATAAAATCGTTGTATAGCATATAAGGTGATGAGAAAATTATCAATATTCAAAATCAGACAACCAATGTAGATACTAAAAACCATAATATATGTACTCACATGTGTTCATCACATTGCTCTTGATCATAAAGCAATTTTTTGATTGAACCACGAAGACAAGTAAGCCTTCTTTCCTTCTCTGAGTATGGAAAGTAAATACCCATATCTGCTCCAGGGGAGACTATATTGAACTTTGGATCAAAAACATCAATTCCATGGACAACACGATATAAACCAGGTAGAGTGAAAGCAGTATGGCTCTCATACTGTCCGACTGCATTCTTGCTGAAATAGAGGCAGAATATTTTATATAAGATATCCAGAAGAAACAAAACTAGCATTCCGGAAGCGGCAGACTATGATAAAAGAAGTACAGCAACCAAGTCTGTGTCAAGAATTGTGGATGAGGGTGCCACAGACTCTGTCATACAACCTCCCTGCATTGAAATAGACCTAAGTTTCACATTCCAAGGTAGTGTCTGCTATCCCCAACTTCTATGTAAAAATAAAATATTTGTTTAATAAATGCATGGTCATGAATGTCCTGTTTGTCAATACAAAAGGTACTTGTCATGTTACTCAAGGATCCATTGGTGTTTACTTGATGTGGCACTCACCAGATTGTGTAGAGAGTATGCACATGGTACAGGGCATTCTTGTTGAACTGAATAAACTAGCCTATACAGATAGGCTTGAAATGCTTAGTCATGCAGATCCAACAATGGATGGACATACTAAGGTGAACCATACACAAAACTCGGTACAAAGGTACCAACTGAACTGTGTCAATACTAGTTCTCCGCAACTGATTAAAGCTGCTAGATCCACAGCACCTCACCTGATATTAGGCAATGACCTGTGGGATTAAGGCAACCATGGGTCATGATGAAGAATCCTCAAGCTTAATTGCTGCCAGTGAGGGCTTATCAGTAGAAATGATGTATGCCAGAAAGGAAGACATAAAGGAAAGGAAACTAGTGGGATACACAACAGGAGTAGATTCTGTGTTAGAACAGTGTAGCATATGACACCACCGTCACATACCACACCAGCAGAATTTTGGCACCCAGAATGGCATTCCTATACTACAACCAGATAGGCACATTTCCAATAAAATATTGCAAAGATGGACAGGTTTAGAAAGGACTAATGAAAGTTGACACACACACACACACTGATTCAGTGCCTTGGCATAACATCATTACTGATTGGTAACTGGTTTGATTACAACAATTAACTTTAATATTCCATGATTTAACATTGCATGGATCTTTCACTACCCTTGAAAAGATGCCTTCAGATCCATGCTCAAAAGATTGTTAGTTTTCGACCAAATCAAGTTTCGAAAAGAGAGTAACATTTCCATGATAAATGAACTAATTTGCATCTCGAAAATCCATCTAACTGTTGCAGTCTAAGTACAAGCATGCATCTGGCAATTCAAAGTACTTAAAAGTAATTAAGCAAAAAAAAAAAAATAATTATAGTCGAAAAAAGATGACAGTAGAAAAAACTTGCTATATTACAGAATAAACTAAACATTCTCTCTAAATGACAAGTTATAAAAATACAAATTTATCCAGGAAATTGGGCAATGTACCTTCCAGCAATTTCTTGGTAGGTGCTAGTGATTATAAAATCTGCATTATTCATGGCAATTAGATCAGCAGTGAACTGGCATGAAAAATGGTACTTGTCCTCATACTTCTTCCAATATATATCTGAATCGGGATATTTTGTCTTTTCCAGTGCATGAGCAATGTTGCACTGCATAAGAGTTTATCAATGATATGTACATACAAAAATATACTGTTCAAACAAAGAACATACAACAATTATGACTAACCAGAGCATACCTGGGTAATTCCAAGTTTATAAGATAACAAAGAGGCAACAAGATTTCCATCACTATAATTTCCAATAATTAGATCTGGAGCACCATGTAACTCTGCAGCAATTTCACTTGCTGCATCCTATTAATAGAATGAACTGTCTGTCAGTAAGCATCCAAACTAATTCAAATCAAATGATAAAAAAACAGCAATGGCAAACTATAAAAATTAAACTTATCTCTTAATTGGACCACAAAAAAAATATTGTACATATTGGATGGACTATTACATCGGAGGCATAGATGCCAAACACAATTTTCCATTTAAATGATATTAACAGTTCTGGATTTTGATGCTCAATGTGAATGTATCAGCAAATTTGATAGCCTCACTATATAAAAAGAAAAAGATTCTTACTTTTGTAAAAAACTATTTTTTCATTAAAAAAACTCATTTAGGTTATCTTGCCAAATCAAACAATTCATCAAGCATTTGAATCTGATACGTCACAGTAAATGGCAAATATTCAGTGCACATAACTAATACAGGGATAAATTATTTAGTTTTTTCAAGAAAACCTTACAAGTACTAAGTACTGTTATGTTTGTTCTTGAAAACCATGGTTGACCGATTCCATGACTGTTAAGAGCAGTCTCATTAAACCCTTCATGAAAATACCATGGAACTTTAGTGAGTGCATGCAAGTTAGACTTCAAGATTGTTTCTTTTCAGCCACATATTTAAACCCTTCATAGGAATACTTAGCCAGTTATTGGAACTTCATTTTGTTTCTTTTTTCACATTACATTTTTCTTTTGACACTTTGTTTCTTTCTGACTTTTGACACTTAAGCCAGTGTTGATAACACCAAGATAAGAAACAGCAGAGCAACCAGATCACATATTAATATGAAAGCACAACAGTGTGACAATTTTCCAGTAGTAGTTAACTAGTTATTCATGAGTAATGGGACAGAGAGGCAATGGCATAACTATGAAAAAGATAAAAAAGAATAGAAAATGGTCTAGGAATCCAAGACTAATCCAGACAGGGCTTTTTGTCTATATGGTTTATCCAAATCTTTCAATCATGTGATCAGATCCTAGGTAGATGTCAAACAGCTAGTAAAATTTCCTCCTGTTCGGAAATTTACTCATGCTGTTTCAAAAGGGAACCTCAAACCCCTTGGTTCCCTCTGCCCACTTCAATTTGCACCTGTAAGCATGTATTTCTTCCAAAAAAGAATATTTGTGGAGAGAAACAAGAAATAAATATGAAATAGATCATAAACTCACTAATTGAAACAAGGGTTATGATAGAAAATTTTTAAAATTTAGTTGAACTTTAGATCTGCAGGAAACAAATTCTTTAAAAGAAGATTAACTAGTAGTGAAATTAACAACACAGGCAAAACTTCTGCAATAAACTAGATCATGGAGAAACATGTACAATGAAGAGAATGTCAAATAATCTGCCTCTAACAATCTCAATCTAGAATCATCACATGGTTTCAAAGGATCTATAAGGCCTCATAAATTTTACCTCAGCAAACTTCTCCAAGTAAGGCCATACATCAAATCTTGAAATCCATTTCTTAAGAATTCCCTTTTCAGTTTTAAAAGGCACCCGCAAGATCCAAGTATGTTGTGTTCCACTGATTCTTTCAAGCCGTTGATTGCATGTTGTCCCTTTTGCATCAGGTATGAGCCTGGTAACCTTCAATTAAAAAACCTAACAGAAGAAGTAAGAATGCATAAATAAGAATCAGCATGTACAATCGATTACTAGATTCACTTACAATGAGGATTTTAGGATAAATATCCAGCCCTTGTTTCTTTATTCTCAAAAGCATCTCATTTTCCAATGCACGAACTTGATCCAGTATGTAGACAACCTGAACAACAGGTTTTAAACATTACTTGCTTGAAACCCTCATAATTCTACAAAGACATCAATGAAAATATATTTTTCTCCATTGTCATCTTATACGACTGAATAAAAGAAGGAAAAGAAAACTACAACTTAATGTAGGAGTACTACCTGCCCTCCTGTGTCCGGTAAGCCTAATACATTAGCTTGGCTAAAGTACCCATGGGGTGAAAGAATTACAACATTGAACACCATGGGAATCCTCCCTAGAAACACCTCCAGAGTGGAAGGATCAGGAGCCTGAAGGATGTCCAGAAGAAGGTGAATCATTTCCAGAACACGTCGAGCCGTGTCACCCCAGCCTCTCTCCAAACCCATCTCTTGAAACCTATAAATAAACTTGTAAAAGGTTGTAAATAAGCTTGATAATAGATATAATTATCTTCACAACAGAGCATAAAGGCCCTTTTGCATGAAACATAAGCTGGATATTCTTTTCCTTCTAAATGAAGCTCAAATAGAAATCACTAACTTAGCAATGATATGGGGTCAAACTAAGGTAATCATACTCTTTGAGGAAAATAACAGAACTCTGTTCATGGACGGTATCCACTACTTATAATGAAATTAAATAACATGACATATAGATATTGTTCCCAATGTCTCTTTTCTCCATAAATGTAGTTGGTTCATTCAAGCACTACTTATAATGATAAATAACATGACACAGATATTGTTTCATTCAGGCACATCCAATGTCCAGGCAACCTAGAACAGGTAGTGGATGAATGGAAGTTTGTTCTATAAAACACTTGTTAGTACAAAAAAGAAAACACACCTGATACCATTTTTGAGATTAATAGTCATGTCCAGTTGACATTACATGCTGAAGAAGTAAAATCTAAATGCAACTTTGAAATATATAAAACTTAGTGAACGTTGTTAAGATTATATGAATTACTATATAAAAAAAAGATAGGAAAAGCAAGTGACCATTCTGTTTCAGTGCTTTGTTACTGAATACTTTTCTTACACATAAGCAAACTCAGAGAATGGAGTCTCTGGTGGAAGCATAGACAAATATTCATCGGCCTTGGTCAGAACAGACTGAAGCCTGGACATGCTTTGTATCCTATCATTCAACATCATGACCTGCTCAATGCACAATAAAAACAGCTAGACCATCAGATTTGAAAAGTTGGAGCTCTTAAACATTCATCGACAGGTAATCTTACATGATCCTTATACTTGTGGGCACGGAGGAAGTTAAGCAGAGGCTCCAAGCAATCCTTGTTATGGAGCATAATGGATGAAAGATGTCGGTTCAGGAACTGAACGCCATTGCCGATTGACGATGACTGGATTGGCCGTGGGAATGAAGCATTGAATGGTTCGAAGTCCAGCTCCAACACGTAACGATCGTTAGACCTTTGAGTTCATTAATAGAAAACACTTATTTCAGCTTAAAAAAAGAGTATGGTTGATACAAGAAACGTTTATGTCGACCCACAAATCATCGCTTACCTTTCATCTTCTAGCTCTTCCTTGAACTGAAGATACTCCGACACACTCAGCTGCTCGACGCTAAGCTCATGGACATTAACCCGGACATATTCCCATATACCAGGCCTGGGGCGGACGGCAATCGCCACGAATGGTGGCATAACTACAGCTTCCTAATTCCCGTCGGTGACCAAATGAACAATAAACATAAGAATCTTTGTTAAGCATTTGGTATACCAAGTATCAAGAAAATTTTAAAAAAGGAGGAAACTGAGCAATAAATGATTTAATATCACAGGGGAAATGATAGTTAAAGAAAAAAAAAGAGAAGTTTTTGTCGGTCTTGGTGTTTGGAATCAACAATAAAAACAAAGTAATTGTGGAAAAAGATAGCTTTCTGAATGTCTAGGTCGGTAGAAATCAAGAAGGAGAAGAGCGAATTAAGAGCACACAGACATCTTCTTTGGATGTCCGCGTGAATGGCTTGAATCGGACCTGGGCGGACTTGAGGACGTCGGAGAAGGGACCTTCGGAGAGTTTGGTGCGGGCGTCGTACCCGAGGGTGGCGAGGGCGTCGAGGAGGTGGTGGGGTTGCAGCAGCCCCTTCCCCTGGCTCACGTACCTGCCGGCACAGACCAATACAAATCACACCGAACCGCAGAAATTGTCGGCACAACACGAGGTGGAGAGACCGGAGCGAGGGCGGAACCTGGACAGAAGGGAGACGAGCACGTTGCGGTAGGCAGACAGGGTGTCCTCCACCCTCTCCCTCATGCTGGGGATGAACCCAAGCTTGGGGCTCCCCATGCCGCTTCTATACTCTTCGGTTTCGCAATCGAAATCACAGGCGAGGAGGAGGAGACGCGGGAGAAGTGTCGTGCGTGAGTAGAGCGTAAGTGTTTGGTTCCGAGCAAGAAGGTAATGGCTTTATATAATATCATTTTTCATGCATGTTGACTAAGGTATTATTATTTATTATTATTATTATTATTATTATTATTATTATTATTATTATTATGCAAAATAATAAGGATAAATTTTCGAAAAAAATCCTCATTTTGAGTTTTTTTTTTAATGTTTGGTGACCTTTTTCTTTGTTCTTCATACATTACTTATTCTATATCTCAAAATACTTCTGATATGATAATTTTTTTTTTTTTTTTATCTTTTGTATTGACTCGGTCTATAAGATGAATCAATCACCAGTTATAGTATCATCTAATACAAATAATATTTTTGATATCTTCATCAAAAATATTATAAGTATAAAATAAATTTAAAATCCAATATAAACTAATTTACTAAACCTTGGTTGAGTTTCAAATATGTATTTTTATTAGTAAGGATAATAACATACAAAAAAATAACTTTTATATTAGTTACAATAATTTTAATAGAATTAAAATTTTAGAAATATAATAAAAAAATATTATGATTGATATATCTATATATTGGTTGGAAGATTTTGGGAACATAGAAAAAGATAGATCACTGATGAAAAAAATAAAAAAAAAAATCAGAAAATCTAAAACTAGAAGTTCTACTGCATATAATAATAATAATAATAATAATAATAATAATAATAATAATAATAATAATAATAAATAAATAAATAAATAAATAAATATATAAATAAATAAATAAATAAATAAATAGATAAGACGTCCTGAGTTTTGAAATAAAACCATGTACGAGAATGGATACAGATAAGGGAGGGTGAGTGGTTTCATAGTAGAGAGCAAACGGGAAAGAATATGGAAGTATTATGAAGAATGATTTGTTTGACTTCTTCTTAACAAGTTATAGAAGAATGCATCTGGATAAAAAAAATATATTTTTATCTTTCAAAATAATTATCTTTATTTATTATAAAATTAATAGGTTAATTATACCTATCAACCAAGAGATATATATATATATATATATATATATATATATATATATATATATATATATATACATTTATATATACATATATATACATATATATACACATATATATACATATATATACACATATATATACATATATATACATATATATATATATGTATATATGTATATATATATGTATATGTATATGTATATATATCCTTTTAATTTACTATATTTAGGTTTTTAATTGACGTTGATATCATATAAAGAATTTACTATGATAATAACAATTCTAAGGATTTTTTTAAAATATATAATAGAAAAATAATTTCTTGTCCAAAGTAATAATAGACAATCATGACTAAAAGAAAGAGAACTTTCTTTTCATATAAACCTCTGTGTTGTCAACTTATTAGATAAAATCTTTTTTACAATTTAATCAATCACAATAATTGGATTGGATTTTAGCTTCCCTAACTCAATTTGTATAATGAAAGAAAAATATTTCGGCTTCTTTAATCTAACATCCAAGGAATATTGTACTCATTCTCTTCTTAGGTCGTCAAGAGGATTTTGTTGTATCACAAGGATGCTCAAACTAAGCAACATACATACATGGAATAGCCATGATCAATCCAATGGTCACACCAACCAATAGCTTTTGGGCCATGGACGGAAAGAGAGAGAAAGTTATATGTGACTCTTAAGCAACGGAGAATGATTTCCTTAGTCACCACAAAAGGGAAGCTAGTGGCAATGGTATATGATACTACTACAACTACTTATTCTCCTACGGACCACCATGTCGCTAATGAGAAGGTGTTGACAAAATGCAAGGAGAGACCCGAGAATAAGTTTTTGTTCCTTGAGATATATGTTAGGAAATAATTTTCTTCGCCAACATCAAGATATGGATATTACTTGGCATCATTCGAGTCAGGATAGTTGTGCAAGTGGCGTGATGGATGTTAACGATGATTAGAATGTCTAATTCAAATAAATCTTACAAAAAAATAATCCACTAATTGATGGTAAATATGGGGAAAAAAAGTAAAAGTAAAAGAGGGGCAATTGTATTTAGTTAAGCATTAATTTTTTTTTTATAAATAATACGTGATGAAGATATTTATGATTCGAGGATCTTATAATAATATGATAAAGTATGTTTTTTGCTAAAACTAGTCAATATATTTTAGATTCATATCAAAAATCCAACAAGTGCTCATTAAATATGTACATGTTATCCTAACTATCAAAAATGAAGAATTTACTCGACATGCTATAACAATAAATCATGAGAAAGAATCTATTTTCTCATTGAATTAATATTTACAAGAATGACACTATGTTAAGTGGTATTCTTAGGTATGCTTTGATTAAAAAGAAATTAAATAAATATTTATAAAATATGCTCAGTATGTTAATCTGACTTTCAAAAAAATATTTTAGATAATTTTTTTTATAAGAATTAAGATATGAGATATGAGCATCTTCCACCATTGAACCGAAGTAAAAGAATGATCATGAGATATGAATATTCTCTATATTAAAAAAAAAATATTTCATAATTATTTTCTTTCAAATATGATGATACTCGAAACATTAAGTCAAGTCAAATCAATTTTGTGAAGCTAAATCGATGATGAAATTTAACCTTATGAATGAAATTCAAATTTTGGTTGTCACAACTCCATAGTTGACTTATAAATACCCATTTTCATAGTATTTGCATACAACTCAATTTCATTTCTTTCAACTCTTTTTCAATTGATTTCTCTCACTCTTTGTTAAATTTTGTTGAGATTGAGAGAATACATTTAGAATAATGATCACCGACCTCTAGATTTTATGTTCTTACTTATATTTCATTTTTTAGTATTACATATATATATATATGTATTAACGAATATTAAATACTATTATTCTTGTTTAACACAAACTTTTATGATGAGATTTTTTTGTTAATATGTTAGGTTATTAATAATCAATTATAACAAATTATTTTCATATACCATTGCCCCAATATCTACCATAATTATTAGCCAAAGAATCCATGAGGACTATTAACCCAATCATTCTCACAAGTACTATATATTCCACGAACTATATTGGAAATGAATACTATCACAATACATTACCACTACATTTTTAATCTTCTATGATAATAATTTCAATCTCAAAATTAACCCTTTTTTTTTTCGTCGATATGAAAATTAACCTACTATGATTTATTTTGTTGTTTGGTTAATAACATGTTCCTCAAATAATACTCAAATTTAAGAATATTTTTTTTAAAATATACCTAAAATATTAGCATAACGATGGTGTCCTTGATTTGTTTATCAAAAGTCGAAAGTATGAAATATTATTTGATATATTTTATATCTAAAATATTAATTTTCTGATTGAAGATACCATGTAAAATAGGCTATAAAAACTTTAGACAAACCACCTCAAAGTCTTTGGATCAAGACTCACCTTCACTAGTTATTCTTTGCACTCCAACAAATGCATGGTTAGATAAGATTAGATATCTAAGGTATCTAAATATCTAAAAAATAAAAATATTTATTTTAAGTTCGAAATAAAAATTGATAGGGAATGGTCGAAATAACCACCAAGGAGCTGATGTGGAAGACAATGTGTCATCTATCTAACATGGTACCTATTTTAAGTCCAGATTAAAAACCACTTTAGATGATGATATGAAATCATCTCTCAACAAGTTATCGCAAGTTTGAAGAGATTTAAGCTTGCAGTAAGCTTATATTAAATTGTTCCTCTTCCACAACGCTTCAACTACGGCAGTTGCCTAAATCCATATAGGTTTCAAGAGTAATCGTTCCTCTTAAGAATCTTTACTTAAAAGGCTTCAAGAGTCCAATTAAGATCATTCTTTTCATGTAAAAGAAAGTCTAATTACTTAAATCAACGAAAATAGCTGCTTAATTAGTTTCATTATATTTATATATTATTTGTTGGGTCCAGCCCATATGTGGGCTTGGACAAATTGGGCCTATTGAGCCCAAATCACTAATCAAGGTGAAGTAAGGCAAATTAGGGCATACAGAGATAATGCAGAGCAGGGTGCAGCGTGCAGCGTACGTGCACAGTGAACAGCGACGACGTGCAGAGAGAAATAGAGAGAG